CAATAGGTGGGGTGCAGTGGGCTCTGTCCCCAAGCTGTGGGTCCCCTGGTGGTCCCTGGGCTTGGCCTCCACTCATCTGGTCCTGGGCTTCCTCTTCCATTCCTGCCCCTGAGCCCTCTGCCCCTTCCTGCTAAAAAGCTCCAGGTAGGCCTGGTCGTGCTTGCTGACACATCCCATGTCACGGTAAAGGGACTGAGGGGGGATGTGGTCTGTCTGCTGCAAAGTGGGGGAGGGGAGCAGCATGGTCTAGACTTCCAAGGGGCCAGGGATTTAGCCCAGTGGCACTGCACCTGCCTCACAATCAAAAGGTTCAGATTTTGAGCTGGGCGTGGTAGCGCATGCCTGTAATGTCAGCACTCGGGAGGCTGAGGCAGCAGAATCACTGTGAGTTCGAGACCAGCCTGGGCTGCATAGTGAGTTCCAGGTCATTCTCAACTACATAGTGAGAACCTGTCTCAAAAAACCAAAAAAAAAAAAAAAAAATTCAGATTTCGATCCTCAATACCAAAAAAAAAAAAAAAAAAAGGAAGAAAAGACTTCCAAGCTGGGTGTAGTGGCACACGCCTGTAATGCCAGCACTTGGGAGGCTGAGGCAGGAGGAGTACTGTGATTTTGAAGACAGCCTGGACTACATACCAAGACCTCATGTCACAAGACAAAAACAAGGGCTGGGGATTTAGCTCAGTGGTGCCACTGCCTGCCTCACAAGCACAAGGTCCCAAGTTCGATCCCAGTTACAAAAAAAAAAGATAAAAATAAAAACAAAAAAATGAAATAAAGAAGGGCTAGATATGTAACTCAGTGTGAACATCCTGGGTTCAATCCCCAGTACTGGAAAGGAGAAACAGAAAAAGCTCCCAGGTGAGGCTTCAAGCAGCTTCTGAGGGTCCTGGGCAGACCGCATGGAGGGCAGTGCCAGACCCGGGCGGCAGGAGGAGGCCTCAAGCCTCTCCCTGTTGAGTGGGACACTGAATGACAGAATGACAGATCAAGCCCTGACCCTGGGGGCCTGAGGCCTTATTTGGAAATGGGGTATAAGAGAGGGAACTACTTAAGACCGGCTCACCAGGTTGGAGGGTCTTTTTCTAGTGACAGAGTTCTAATGGGACATAGGGGCGCAAAGGAGACAGCCGTGGGGCTGCAGGGCTAAGAAAGAGCTGGGGGCGGGGGAGGAGGGCACCCCTCACACAGAGGGTCAGCACCTCCACACCTCCAGAGCAGGATCACACTTGTTTCTGCGGTTAAGCCCCACCTGTGGCCTCTGGGAAGCAGCTCGGCTCTGTCCCCCACAGCCCCTCCTCCAGCACGGCCTGGGCAGGGCAAGCCAACCAAAGGGCTTCCTGGAAGAAGAAATCCCGCTCCCCTCTCGGGCTCCCTTACTCTGCCAGTAACTGCGGGGAGCTGGCGGCCAGACCTCTGCGCCTGCTGCCCGGCATCTGTGCGGGAGCAGTCGATGCAGCGCACTCGGGTCTGCACGGGTCTGCACAGCGCTTCCCTGTGCGGCCAGCCAGCTTCCCAGCACCCGGCTGTCTGGCAGCACAGTGCTGTTCCCGGACAGATGGACGGACAGATGCCCTCCTGAAGGCCCTGTAGCCTGGAGGGGCCCTGGGGAGCTTGTGGAGGCCGTGCTCCCAGCACCGAGGGATGAGGGGGGTGGCACATGCGAAAGTGGGGACAACAGTGGGACGTGGGGTGTGGGTGGTCATGGAGGGTGGGGCAGTGGCTTGGACCCTCGGGTTCGCTCCAGGCAGAGGCACAGCTGATGGGAGGTTGCGAGGGCACAGGGAGTTGGGCAACATCAAGAAATACAGGCTGGTCCTGGGTTAGGGTTTAGCACAGGGTAGGAACAGATCAGGTGCGGCGGAGGGAGGAGGACTATCAGCACAGGAGCCATGAGAGCCTGTCTCATCCAGCCACAGCCCCAGGATGTCCCCTCCACTGGGCTCAACCATGTCTGCAACACGCATCCTCACAAAAACCTGTCGCTGACTTCACCACCCAAGTGACATGAGAACTATGTCCACACGGAAACACGAACACGCACTGTCACCCAGGCAGGATTCACAGCAGCCCGGAAGCAGGAACAACGCAGAAGTCCGCTGATGGATGCATGGGCGCACACAGCGAGGTCCGTCCACAGCCCGGGTCGGCACTCAGCCAGGACAGGAGTGAGGCTGGGACCCTCGCCACGGTGCGGACGGACCCTCAGGACACTGTGCCCAGTGAGAGACGCCAGACACAGAGGACATGGTGTGGGGCTCGGTGCACAGGAAACGCCCAGGAGAGGCGACTGCAGAGACAGGAAGTGGACTCGAGGGTGCCAGGGCTGGGAGGGAATGGAGTGATGTTCATGGGGATGGTTTTGTGGAATGATGATGTTCTGGAATTGGTGCAATGGGTGCACAGCTCGGTGAATTTATAAAGCACTGCAGAGCTGTGTGTGCTTTGAAATGGTGGCTTTGCTGTTACATGAATCAGATCTTAATTTAAAAGAAAAAAAAAAAAAGGAAGCAGAGCCACATGTCCAGGGCCACAACGCACCTGCAACCCCGAGACAGGCGATCGCCACGGGGGCCGTTGAGCTGTTCCAGGTCACTGATCGGGGATATCAGAGCCTGAGTGGCTTCCTGTGGCCCCTGGAGACAAAGCCTTAGCAGGGATGAGCAGGGCCCTTCCACGGAGAGGAGGCGGTGGTGGTTCGAGGGCCAGGGTGGCGAGGAGGGCACCTGGACCGTCCTGACTGTTGGAGAGGAAGGAAGGCTCCTGGGGAGGCCACAATGGGGTAACAGCGAGCGACAGTGCCTATGTCCCCCAGGTGAAAGGTAATACCTGTGAGCCTCCCTGGAGGAATAAATGACTCAACAGCCAGGTAGCAGGCCGGAGAGACAGTTGGCCCTGCCTAAGTTTTACTGCTTGAGGCGGAAGGATGCAGAAGACACCCTCCAAGACCCACAGTGCAGAATCAGGGCATGGTGGCGCATCCCTGTATTCCCAGCAATCAGGAGGCTGAGGCAGGAGGTTTGCTGGGAGTTCAAAGCCTGCTTGGGCTACACAGTGAGTTCAAGGCTAGTCTGAGCTACATAGAGAGACCTTGTCTCAAAACAAACAAAGATCTGCCACGGAGCCCCGTCTCCCATAGGATCAGGGCAACACTGGGGCCTCCATAAGCTCTCAGGCGAAGGAAAAAGCGGTTACTCCACAGTAGAGGAACCTAATCAAGCAGTCAAGGTCAACACTGGTATCAGATACACCGTTGCCAGGCCCCCTACAGTCCCTGAAGAGGACACAACACCACGGATCTGTGAGATTCCAGAGGGCAGTAGGACCTGAGGTACCATCAGATACCACTGGGCACACTCAACTAGGACACCCTGGACCTGGCTGGCCAGGTCCTTCAGAGGACGTCGGTGGGGAGGTGGGGAGCACCAAGTCCCTGGCCTTATACCAAGGTGACTTCCGAGTAATGATGAGCACACCACTGCTGTATAAGACTGTCCAGCACTGGGGAGCAGGCGAGGGTGCTTGGGGATTCTTGATTTCTGTGATTTTTCTATAAATTTAAAACATCTTAACCAGGCACAATGGTGCATGACTGTCATCCCAGACACTTGAGAAGCTGAGGTAGGAGAATCACTAGTTTGAGGCCAGTTTAGGCAACTTAGTGGTTTAGCGTGGCTTTTTTTTCCTTTCTTTCTTTCTTTTTTTTTTTTTTTTTTGGTACTGGGCATAAAACCCAGGGGCTCTCTACCACTGAGCTACATCCCCATTCCTTTCAGTTTATTAAATTCTGAAATAGAGTCTTGCTAGGTCGCCCAGGTGGGACTCAAATTTGCAATCCTCCTACCTCAGCCTACCTAAATGCTGGGATTACAGGCGTGTACCCCTGTATGTGGCTATGTTTCTGTGCACCATGTCCTCCAGAATGGGACAGCAGGGCGGGCACTGTCCCAAGCCACACCCACAGCAGGGCTGTGGTCAGACTGACTGCTGCATTCAGAGAGCAGCCCATCCCGCCCCTGGTATCTGCAGAGACCCCCAGGAGGAGGCGTGATCAGTCCCCACTCAGTGGTCTCATCCTTCTTTGTGGGGCCAAGGGGGGATCCTGAGGAGCTCATAGCTCTATGATTTAGCCCAGGGAACAACAAAGGAAAACCAAAGCCAAGATCAACCACAGGGCTGGAAGTCTCACACAGGGGCACTGGCCATGGAAAGAAACCAGAAAGGCTCAGCAAAAATATAGCTGCAAACATTTCTAGATCAGGCAGGATGTGCCCCAGGCCATGGAAGGGCTTTGATGTCTCATTCTTGCTGCCATGACAAACTACGCAGACTTTGCAACTTAAAGCAACAGTTTTCTCCTATCAGAGTTTGTAAGGCAGATGTCTGTGGTCCAGGCAGAGTGGCAGGGCTTCTCCCGGAGACTCTGGGTTCCCATCTGTGCTCCTAGAGGCACTCGGAGTCCTTGGCCCTTGGCCCTTGGCCCTTCCTCCACCTGAAGTGCCAGCACATCTTCGGCCTCTCTCAGCCTCTCACCCTCTTCTCCCCATAGGCACTGGAGACTGAACCAGGGCCTTTATCCTGTTTATGTCTTTTTTTTTTTAATTAATTAATTTATTTATTTATTTATTTATTGGTAGCGGGGATCCAACTCGGGACCTTGCGCTTGCAAGGCAGGAGTGTATCCTGTTTATTTTGAGACAGGGTCTTGCTGAGTCGCTATACTGCTCGGGGTGGGGGTGGGGCTTGGACTTGAGAGCTCCCTCAAGGGCCCCACAGCCCAGGCAGCAGTTCCACTGGAGGACACCTGAGGCCGTCTGTGTACACAGCTGCCCTCTGCAGTTCTCTCAGCTCTGTCTCCATGGAAAAGCTGCCTCCCCTACTCAGGACGCCCGGGCTCTGAGGGCCGGGTCACAGAGCCAGCTGTCTCCCTGTGCCCCATCGCACCCTGACCAAGGCCAAGCCAAGGCCATCGTCCCCGGGTGCGCACTGCCGTCCCTTACCTGAGGAAAGTCGCCACTCTTGGACAGGTAGCTAGGGGCGGTGGCCACAGTAGCATAGCTGGCATCGGGGCAGGGCTGGCCACCCAGGAAGGAGGCCGAGCTCGAGAAGGCACTGGAGGAGGAGACAGAGAAGGTGATTACTGGGCACAGCAGGGTGCTGGGCCAGGCACTGGGGCCCCCTCCTGGTGCCCAAACAGGAGTTCGGCCACACGGACACTCACAGGGGGACACAGGCATGCGCAGCCCCCCTTTGCTCCGGCCCACTCTGCCCCAGCTGCCTCGGATCTGTCCACACCCATGGGTGGAGCCCAAGGCTGCCTGCCTGAGTGGGCTCAGCCTCAGCCCTGAGGACAATCGATTCACGCAGAGACTGAGTCCCAAACTCCTCTCAGATGGCTGGGAAATGGCAGGGCACAGGCCAGTGTCACTTCGCCCAGGCCACCCAGGCCCAGCTCATACTGACAGAGAGAGCACAGCCCAGAACCTGGGGCACCATGCTCCGAGGCCAGGATCCCTACCTACCCCTGCCCTGTCACCTGAGGCGGCCAGGAACACAGAGAACAGGGAACGTGCTAGGGCCAGGGAGTCCTTGACCCAAGGAAATCAGCCTAATACCTGGTCAGGAGGGAGGGGACAACACCCATTAGGGCCTTCATCAGGCCCAGCTCCCACGCTATTGGGCTGCCTGGGTCCAGGAAGCTCCCAACACTCCCCTTACCAGGTTTCTGAAGGACATTTCCTGTCTTCACTCCTCCTAGAATCTCCACAAGGCTCTGCCTGCAGTACCGCCAGGCCCTTTGCACAGGCTGCTGCTTCTGCCTGGGATGTAGGATGTTTCCCAGCAAACTCCTACCCATTCACCAAACCCCAGTTCAACCATTGCCCTGTGCGAGAGAGATGTTTCCCAGTTGCTCTGTGGAGACACTTACTGGCTGTCGCTGGAGAAGGCTGGGTACGATGGCGGTGAGAAGCTACTCCACCATGGACAGTGCAGGAGGCCATTCTGAAACACAAGGGAGTGGTGTCAGTGTGCACGGGAGGGGACGGAAGACCGACTCCATCTGGTCCCAGCCACTGGACAGAGGAAGAATAGAGCAGAGCAAGAGCTCCACAGTCAGCCTGGGCCTCCCGCTGGTCACAGGGTGGTTAGTGAACCTTGCAGTGTATCAGTTTCACCGTCTGAGTGACAGGATTCAAAGGCAGAGGCAGGAAGGCCACCCAGCAGAGCATCCCACATGCCAGGCTGGGGCCCAGAATCTCCACTTCAGAGAGGACCCCTCGTGCGCAGGCGCCTGAAGAGACCCTGGGTTCACTGGTGCAGAGAGAACTCGTACAGGACCCCTGAGCCGTTTCCCTCAATCACCTTCCATGGGGCAGCTCAGCTGGCCCCTCCTGCCCTGACTTCTGTTTTCTGGCCACCCAGGCCACTGTGAAGAGGCTACCAACCGGGGGGCACTAACCTCTTTGCCCTAGCAGGGCCTGGGACTCATGCTGGCCCCTGAAGGCCTCTGCCAGGCTGCTCCATGGGTCTTAAGCACCAGTCCCCAGGTCCAGCCCCAACCTCCCTGGGACTCAGGATGGGGCAGCCGGCTAAGAATCACCTACTTCGCTCCCTTAGCACAGAGAGGGAAGACCAGCCCTGAACACCCATGCACACCCCAGCCCTGAGCTCCCCAGGGGCCTGCTGACCTCCAAAGGGGAGACCTAGGCAGCCTCACAGGCCGGGAAGGGTGGCCACAAAAGGTTGAGGTGACCTCCTGTGTTTTCAGCCTTTTTTTTTTTTTTTTTTT